TATTGCAAACAGAACTAGGTTGATCAGTGGCATTGTATGTAAATCATCCACACTTGTCAATAGTTTATCCAAGGCATGAGAATGCATTTCAGCTGCTGCTGCTTTTTTTTTATTTTTCTTCTTCTCATTTGAGCATCCTTTTAGTTCCTCATTTAGGTGAGAGTTTATAACATGCATCTATATGTGCCAGAGTGGAATTTGACATTTTAGTGAAATTTATGTCATTATCTCATTATAAGTCTTGGGGAAACCATATTCTAAGTACTATTTGACGGTATTGTACTGGTTTTCCATCCTTGAGTGGTGTTCTGTAAGATTGCATTTCCCTTAGAGAAAATAAATATACTGATTTTAGTCCATAATGTTTTTTATGCTCTTTATTCCCCTTCATTGATGAGAATAAAGTGTAGTAAGTGCTATATTTTGTCTGCTTTTCTTTTGGTATTCATTCTATTAGCTAGCTTTCAATAATCTCATTCCAGCATCATCTTTAATTTCTCTTGCAGGCTGAAATGCCTGCTGATAGTGGATATCCTGCTTATCTGGCAGCTCGATTAGCATCTTTCTATGAGCGTGCTGGTAAAGTAAAATGCCTTGGTGGGCCAGAACGTACTGGTAGTGTCACAATTGTTGGTGCTGTTTCCCCTCCTGGAGGAGACTTCTCTGATCCTGTGACATCTGCAACCCTCAGTATAGTACAGGTAAAAAACTCCCACATTGAAAAAAAGGCTAATGCCAATGGTTCAATATTTTTACTTGCATTGTTTTGATGAAGTTACCTTTTATTTGTTCATGATAAAAGCTAACAAGTTTGTCGTAGTCTGTATTTTTTGCTTTTTGTTCAGTCACATGAATGGATGCATATGGAGTATGGACATTATATTCTCTGATGACAAACTTTAGTTTTCTCACCTTTGTTGATTGAAACTTTTAGGTGTTTTGGGGTCTGGATAAGAAACTTGCTCAGAGGAAGCATTTCCCTTCTGTTAACTGGCTTATTTCATACTCAAAGTACTCATCGGTATGGTTCAGAACGTCTATCCTATGTCTTCTTTTTCTTTCGTTTTTTCCCCCCTGGCTGGTGGTTTGCTCAGTTCCTGCAGTAAGATATGTTCTCAATTTTTATTGGTGTGATTATCCTATGTTGCCAGGCATTAGAATCTTTCTACGAGCAATATGATCAGGACTTTATTAACATCAGGACAAAGGCTCGAGAGGTGCTTCAGAGAGAAGATGATTTGAATGAAATTGTCCAAGTATGTCCCTTAACTCTTGCATTTTGTTTACTCTGGATTTTTATTTCTTGAATTAGGATCAGGCAGCGTGTCTTGACTCATGTAAGTCAAGAGGTAGAACAGCACACTGCAAACTGTCTGTTTATATTAATCTTGCTTGTGAATGAACACATATTAATGGTTGGCTTGTTGCAGCTTGTCGGAAAGGATGCTTTAGCTGAAGGAGATAAGATCACCCTGGAAACTGCTAAGCTTTTGAGGGAAGACTATCTTGCTCAAAATGCATTTACACCGTAAGTGTCCACTTTATTTAGTGGTCTTCTGTAGATACCACCAGTTTAACTTCACTATCATGTTATGCCATAATCTTTCTCTGTATATTTTTCTGGTGACTGCAGATATGATAAATTCTGTCCTTTCTACAAGTCTGTCTGGATGATGCGCAACATTATTCATTTCTATAATTTGGCCAATCAGGTACCCTCCTGAACCTTTCTGCACTCTGTTCTAGTTTCCAGCTGCTTCTATGTTCGCTAATGATACTTCCCACTGTGACTAGGAGAGTGACTACAAGGAAAAACTAGAATAATGGAATAAAAATTATTTTTAAGGGTTTGTTTTGTTTCTCTCCTGAAAGAAAACTTGGGATTGTAAATTTATTCAACATGTTTTCTCCTCAGTAGTAAAACTTCTAAAATATCTTAAGCTTACTGTTTCATTTGGTTGGAGAGAAGGGAAAAAAATAAAATCAAATTGTAATAGTAGGTTCTTGGTTGCCAAAAAAAAAAAAGGTAGGTTGTTGGTCAAAAGATAGTTATAGTTTCTACTTAAAACATATTTACCTTCCTGTAATCCACACTTCTAGATGAACACACGAGTATGGTTGAATGTGTATGAGTTTTTCTGGAATACATATTTAATAATATACCCTGGGTGCCTGCCATTTTAATGATGTGCTTGGTATTTGCAAGTTGTTAGGTATCTGTTGAGTTGTGGATCTAATAGGTTTCTGCAATTTTTTTTACAGGCAGTAGAGAGAGGAGCTGGGATGGAGGGTCAGAAGATAACCTACAGCCTTATCAAGCATCGGTTGGGAGATCTCTTCTATCAATTAGTGTGAGTTGGAGCCTTATGCTGAAAATGGAACTAAAACAGAAAGAAAATGGATTTTGACTGGTTTTATGCTACCTCTATATGTGGCTTAATTTACTGATTTTCTTTCTATTGCAGGTCTCAAAAATTTGAAGACCCAGCTGAAGGAGAAGGAGCTCTTGTGGGCAAATTCCGTAAGCTGCATGAGGATCTGACAGCTGGTTTCCGTGCTTTGGAGGATGAAACTCGGTAAACAGATGTTCCGGGTTTGGGTACTTCTGTTCCTACAGTTTCTCCATCTAGGTAGCAAAACCTGAGTTTGTTTCTTTGTCCTTGTGCGCGAGAATCCAGTCTTTATAGGTGCATTTGGTGCTGAACTGGGGTTCTTATCAACCTAAACTGTAGTTGCAATGCTTTTGGCTATGGATTTATATTATGTATTGTTATTATTATCATTCCTTGCAAATTTGTTTTTGCCTGTTAGAGACCAAAGTTCATTATCTCTGTATTTATGCAATAATAAGATATGTATTATTGTTATTATCATTTTGTTGACATAAAAATAATAAAGTGATAAGGAATATGCCTATTTCTAGACAAAATCACAAAATAAGGCAAATTATATAAGGAGAGCATGGCATATTAGGAATATATATTCTTTGTTTTTACTAATTTTCTTATTGGAAATTACCGCATTGTATCATCTTGCTAGATTAAAAATAACACCAGTGAACAGAAGTGTTTCCAATAGACCACGACTTTGTCCTGGATAAGTATGTGGAATGTGTGTTCTTGTGGAAGTGCATTTTACCGTACATTATTTAAAAATGTAAAATTATCATAAATAATTAACTTTAATTAAATATTTTATATAATTTTGAGATTTGAAAAGACAAAAAAAAAAAAAAAAACAAACAAACAAACAAACAAACGAAAACAGCACAGCTTAGCCCTTTCAAATAAAGCCTTAATTATTTTAGTTTGACGAAGGAATACTTTTATTCAAGGTTTAATTGAAATGCTAAATATAGAGTAAATCCTGATTATACTGCCAAAATTGGAAGTTTACGTGCTTTAAAACCGCCAATAATTACTTTGAGTCAAGAATTTTGGAGGGCCAAACCCACCCCTTGAACTTAATTTTCATCCGGATTTTGCCCCCTCAGGAATTTTAATGTGGATTTTACCCATTTAAACTTTCCCGAAAAGATCCAAATTTAACGGTATATGTGATGTTGCTGTTAAAATTTGCCCACCTGTCATTTTTTAACTGACGTGGCATTTTTTAAGTGACGAGGCAAAAATTTTGCTGATGTGGGCACTCACTAGCTGACATGGCAAATTATTTTGTGTTTTTTTTTTTAATTAATAAAGTGTCATTAACGCTTCCTTTGGTGGCACTAAAAATAACCATGCCCTTGAACCTTCACAGAGGATCTTGACCTCGTTCTCAATCAGACTCGATCGACCACCAGTTGGCACCGTGGACTACTTTAGTACAAATATGAAAAACTACATGATAATCAGTTTAGACACACTAAACAGTAAACAAGCAATTAGGTTATTAAATTACACAATAATGAGTCTAAAACACACCAGACAATGTAATATAACCATCAATGTCAGCTACTTCTAAAAACTGAAGCGAAATGCAAGTTTGATGATACAAAACACAAACAAGTTTGCATTAAGGAAGGATGCTGATCTTTCATTGTCTCTTCACTGGCCATCAATTTCACATTATTAACCAGGACCAACTTTGGGAATGTCATAATGCTCACTCATGTTTGCCAGATATTGGTTGAAGTCTTGAATCCTGTCCCGATGAGATTTGTTAGCTTCCTTGGCCAACCTCTTCACATCAAGTTGCTCCCTCTGCTCAATGTATCGTCTTTCTGCAGGTGTCAGATGATCATCATAAGGAGCGGCCTTCCCCTCCCCAGTGGATTTGTTAGCATCATCCATGCCTTCTTCACTAGGGTCAGTTGATGCTTCAACGCTTCCATCTATATCCAGTGCCAGCAGAATGATAAGGTTCCAAAAGTAAAAATGATATAAACAAAGCTGGATCAAACATATGTACTGAATGGAATAGAATCAGGAGCACCATGACCAATTTTCACATTTCTAACAATTTTCTGCTCTGAATTATAATGCATTCTTACCTGGACCAAGAAAATATAGAAGCAGCAATCAAGACTTTAAGACAAGAGAGAAGCATTTTCAGTATAGGATATTAAGAACGTATAAAACCAATATCAAACATTCTGTTAAAAGCTGCTGCTTAAAGACTTTATATTCATCGGCAAGAGCATTTTGGTTGCATTTGTCAAAGCATCGACAAGAAAACATTTTAAAGCATGGATTTTTCTTTGAAAACCATATTCATTGTACTAAATTGAATATAAGGGTGAGATTCACACTCTCATAGAGAAAAAAAAAAAGGGGGTGTTCAGTGGGGAAGGGGGAGTGGAGAGTCAATATGAACATATTTATAATCAAACCTCACCACTGGTGACTTTTAAAGGATGGAATCGAAAATTCTAGACTATTTCATGCGATCGCCAGAGTGAAAAAGTATTGATTCATCAAGTCATAACTTGAACATCCCTCAATTTAGAAATAATTCATAACAAACACATGCTCACACACTTGCATTGCACAGCTAAGAAGTAAGAAAACAACTAGCCAGAAACCAACCTACTGAGAGTTCATTTTCTGTAACTTGAGTTACTTCATCTTGATGCTTCTTATGTTTCTTTTTCTTCTTGACCCCACCAGCTTTAACATCTAACGCCTTTCCCTTGAGCTTGAGCTTACCACCAACAACATTATCATACGCTGACATTTTCCCTGTAAGGTAATGCAAATATCAGCACAGAAAGACTCATGCCATGATGAACAAAAATTAGCCTACCCTAAAGCACACACCGAGAGAATAGGTGAGGGTAATGGTTTTATACTGCCCATTAAAAAAAGAAACAGTATGTTCCTTTCTGTTATGTGTCAACAGTGATTCAAAAAAAAAAAAAAAAAAAAAAAACACTGACCCTCCTTTAAAATGACTGATCCATGACCATGACCATGCAATTATAGTTTGTTTTCTCGAAACTCTCGAATCCAAAACCTAATTAAAGTTCCTATAACTCGTTCATCATCCAATTCACAACCGGAAATATAATTGAATGGCGAAATTACTAACACTAACACTAACACATTGGGATCAAGGAATTGCCCAAATTGAAATTGGGAAATAAAAGCAATAAAAATGCATCAACTATTTAGCCAGATTCAATAAACAATCAAAACGCATAAAGGAAATTGTATTTTCACCTGGATTGGGAATCGGGATGCCAAAAAACCTTGCTTGCTTTCGCTTGTGCTTTTGTACCCAGATAGATATTTATATTTTTCCTTCTCCAGATTTTGCGATTTGCAGTTTAGCGCTTGTCCTTTTGGGTTTTACGAGAAAGTCCAATGTTTGTTTGGTTGGGCCTTTTTCCCAGCTTCGCTAAATCCTCCGAAGTCCAAACTCAGATGTTGTTAGAAGTTTGACAATTCCCGGAATAGGGAAAAAAGAAAAATTTACAATATAACATTAAAACGGTAATAAATATATTTTTTTATTATAAATTTATGTTAAAAATAAAAGTTGAATTTTAATTTATTAATTGTCTAATTAAATTCATTAACTTGATAATAATATTAAAATTAATATTAATTTTTATATTTTTTTATGATTAAAAAACACTCTTAATATGTGCTCTAAAGGTACAAATTAAAAAAAAAGAAGAAGTTATGCCTGTTTTGGTTTGATCATTGATGGAAGTTTAATTTTAATGATCAACTTTCGTGAAATTTCCAAGAAAACTTGTTAAAAGTGAATTCCAATAGGCATAGGATATGTTTGATTTAAGGAGATGGAGGGTAGCAAAACATTTTTTAACTAGTTAAATTATAATATTAGTAAAAGTTATAATTTAATTAATTTATAAACTCATTTTTGCCATCCCTCTCCTCCAAAAAAACCAAACGCAGCATGTTATTTATGTACACTTGCAATCTTTATTCTCGTTTTCCATCTCACTCATATCTTTATAACCTAAACTTGAAATTTTTTACCACTCAAAAGGAAAATTACCAAGAAGGCACAAAGTCTTTGGCAAGTATTAATTAGATTCAGGTAAAAACAGACAAAGTTAAAACAACTGTTTGGTATCTCTTTAAATTTTTAATTTAGCTTTTTTTTTGGCCATATTGGATTTACTTTGTTGATAATAAAAATACAAAAAACCAACGAAGAAAAGTCATTTGATTAAAATTCTTGATTTGAAATTATGATGGCAACCCTTATTTATTTATTTTTAATTCCAATCCAAAATACGGAAATTCCTGTCAGAATTTTATCTCTGAAAATCGTCTACGGTTGTGTACCCATAAATAGAACTTGAAATAAAATTTGTTTTTGGTACAAGAAAATAACAGCCTTGTACAAATTAATCCCTAAGAAATTTTGCACAAAGGGGCATAGTGGGCATGTCAAATTATACATTGACAGGAGCAGGTCCAGAGTCCTTCCATAATATCCCATAAAAATAACAAGCACACGTTGGTGCCTAGCAGGAACCAGGGAATTTGTAGACTCAAACACAGGGCATGAGCTATAACTCAGTAAACTCCTGGAAGTATCTTGTAGGGAACCTTCTCACAATATAATTTCCAGTACTTGCCATACCTGAAAGCAGAGACTTGTCAAAATCTCTTTCAGGTTTCTACTTTCATTCTAACAGAAATCACAATTGGCGCAATAATATTCATCCCCACCACCCACCCCCAACCCTGTGCGCAGAAGAAAGAGGTATGGGCTATGGTATTATGTTTAAAAATATTTTCAAACATACAAGTTAAGAAAACAGATCACACAGAAGGAAATTGAAATTCTAGAAAAGCAAAAGCAGCTAACTGAATTGTGTTCAGTGGGATAATATAAAACAAGTTAATATTTTCTTACTTGGATCGACATCGGTCATCATCTCTTTTGGCACGGTCAATGAGAAGGATGGTAAGAAACACCACATAGAAGTATGGCAAAAACTGAAGCATACCAAAAAGCTACAAATTTTAGATCTGTGCAACAGAAACTACAAATAAAATTATCATGACTGTATAAATGCTTACGTGGTTGAAAAGAGCTGGGACAGTCCAGAAAAAAGCAGCTGAGATCTCTGGTACATAATGGAAATGACGAGATAAACCCCACCTGAAAAAACCACATTAGAGCACATTACTGTTGCTATAGTCCATGGCCCAACCTCTGGCTTAGAATAGGTTAATGTAAATGCCATTATCATGTCCTATTGTTTACAAACCATGGGAACCCAACTTCCCAAGGCTTCTAATGTTTTCCAAATTTACCATTACAAGGTTAGAGTAATTCCTAATATGAAGATAATAGATCAATTGGCCGTGACCAACTGAAAGGCTAACTACCCTTTATGGAAAGATAATGCCCCTATTAAGGAAAATAAGTAATACACAAAGTGGTCTGCAAATAGCCTTTATATATTTTACAACATAAAGAAGGAAAACTCACCATCCTGAGGTTAAAAGAGGGCTGGTTTTCGTCTCCCCAGATGTTGTAGTGTATGAAGCCACTATCTATACAATAATAACAAGAAAATGTCACAACCAGTTACTGAAATTAAAATGCTTATCTTTATATGCATAAGAAAATGCAGAAGTGTCACAAAGAAAATCACCTTCGATGGAGCTTTGCCCCAAATCAAGCTTTTACCATTTGTTCGGCGAAATTCTTGTCTTTGCCTATCACAATCATAGTTGATGTATATGCAAAGAATGCCAGCAAATAGGATATAAAGTGCGAGCTGGAGAAATAGGAAGCCCAATTTTTGGTAAGAGAATAGCCAATGAAGCCCTATGCAAAATTTGTCAAATGATAGAAAAGGTGATGGTATCTATCTACCTGCGTTCCAAGGTGGATGGGATGGTTGGCAAGGTACATCCCTGGTGAAGTGTACACAGATGGAACCCAAACCAAGCACCCCCAACAAATATAAAAGCCAGCTGCCAAATTCAAAATCTAAATATTAAATATATTTTAAACAACTTTCAGATATTAAAGAAATATAAAAATTACAAAGAATCTAAATACCGTTTGCTATGTAATAGTAGTAATACAAACACAACATGACAGTATAAGTCAATTAAAACTTTTCTCTCTTTCTTACTTTCTTTCATTCACCTTTTTTTTTTTTTTTTTAATGAGTTCCCATTAAAAAGAATTGCTAAAGTATGCAATAGGAGAAATAAAACTGACAATATTGCATAATTGAAGTTGTAGACACATTTCATAATTTGGGAAGCAACTACAAAAAACTCACTAAGGATCCTTCAAAGAATTATCATGAATAAGAATGAAAAAGTTTAACCCTACATAATGCCAGTGGAAAATATAGAGAAGAATATAGATATCCATGGGAAAGCTAAAAGTGGGAAAATCCCACATCTATCAATTAAGAGCCTCTTCACCTATTGCCAATTGGTTTTAGGTTGGATGCCCTTTATCATGGGGCAACTGAGTTTTAGAAATTATCAGTTCAAGTCAGGTATAATTTCATCCAAAGTGAATCAATGGGCCTGGTTCAGGGCATTTTCATAAAGCATCTGACCAATACCAAGCTAGGATATATATATATATATATAGACTAAGCATAGTGGAACAAGGGTCTACCTCGGTCATGTGCAATGTCCATTGTATTCCAGTAACCAGCTTCCCACCAAAAAAACTTTGTAACATATACCAACATCAATATTGTATTTACAAGCATTGAATCAGCAACTCTTCCATTCTGTTCATACTGGTCAAAGAAATAAAGTGGATATTAAAGAAAATATGAAAATATTGATTTCTTAAATTTCAAAACTTAAAATTCATAATTAGTTCAACAGAATTAGAAGCTAAATGAAAAAAATTGCTACTATGAACCACTTACTCACTTTAGACATAAGTCAAATCAGCAAAATTCAAAAGCTAAACAAGGAAATCCCAGCCATTAAATTTTTTTAAAATAATGACCTATTCTAGACTGGGCCATGCAACTAGTTCAAGAATCACTTCTCTCTTGACAATCCACAAGTTAGAAGGTCTAAGAATATAATTAGAGACATTACAGCTACAGCCATGTGTTTTCTTGACCAACGAAGAACGTACATAAAACTTTCTAATGAGTTTTAAACACAAATAGGCACCTGTTTTACGCAATAGGTGACTGCAAGAACTGCCCAAGACATCATTCCAAATCTGCAGTTGGTGAAGACTTTGATGTCGAAGTCTTTGCCAATTCTAGGATACAGCTCCATGCCCTGCACCAAAAAATGACCATTACATAACTGCAAGACCTCACATTTTTGTGCTTGAGTACCTTGAGCCATTGAAACAAGGTTTTTAATAATAATGAAAATAAAATGGTAGTCCACATTCCCCTAATCCTTCACATCAACAATGCATCATTTAGACATTGGTCAGATTTCTAGACTAAATGAGGCCAGTAGGTTTTAAACTTTTACTTGAATTTAAACTGAATGACAATCATGCATCCTTAAAAGGTCTAATATATTTTTAACAGTTTTAGTATAAAACAAAATCTGTTCAAAAACCAAAAAGCATCTTCCTTGTTAGTTATCTTACTACTAAAAAATTACCAATACTGCTAAATTATGAAAAGGAATAAAAATGAAGTAATGCAAATATCATAAAGGGTTTAAGATGCTCACCCAGTAGAAATCAATTATTATGTTCCCACATGAGCCTGAATCAGTCGAAGAAGGAGCCAAATGACCCTTGTAGACATAAAGTGGTAGTGTTAAGAGTTATAAGCAGTAAATAAACTGAAGAAAACTTAAGCACCAACTTGAACCGGTTCTCACTTTTATGTATAAGAAAATACAGAAGATGAAGCTTCCAAAGATGAGGGCTGAAAATATTTCTCCCAAACGATCATAAACAACTGTGGGGTTGAATATACCAAACCTGAGAATAGAAGCATTAACTATAGTTACAAGTTAAATAAACTAAAATTGCAAAAATTGAATAATGATCTCCAGAAACGTGAACATCTCAAAGTATTGTCCAAAAGAAGATCAGGCAACTTCAAACCACACTACAAATACATCAACAACAGCTTGACACCAACAAAATGACACTTTGAGTCTACAAAGAGTTATGAGAAACAGAATATAAACTGTAATGAAACAAAAACGACAGGAACAGAGTTCCCAATCCAGGCGCAGATCATCTAACAGCATTTCTCTTTCTTTATCCCTTTGGCTCCATCCCTTCTTATCCCCAAATTTTTTTTTAATGAAAATTCTCAACAAGTTAGATATTTGAAGCAGCGAATTAAAGATATATAAAAATCATTGCTAAAAATGCTCTTTAAATAACACCCAAAAAAAAAAAAAAAAACAACTTGAGAAGGACTCTTGCAGCAAGCCATGGTAAGCAAAAGAGAAAAGGATCTAATCTAATAAAAACAGGAAATGGGGCAATAGTTCCTATCCCCTAACTTAAAAAATAACAAAGCATTCATCATAATATCATAAGGTCATTCATTTCATGTGAACATATCTCCAGCATATAAATTAAGAACTTAGGACCTCGGTCAAGTACATGAACCAAACGATATGCATTATTGACAGTGTGTGGTCTATTCTCTATCAACAACTCTACTCTCTAGAGACAGAAAGCACCATACTGCTTGAAGCGAGTGAAAGAAAATCCGGCCTAGGGGCAACCTATCAACAAATGGATAAGGTACTCACCACCAAAGGCTGAGATAGGTAAACAATGTCACAAAGTATGCTGCCATACCATTTGCCTGCAGAAATAATAAGGTAAGCTTATAATTTATGCAACAAAATATCAACCACATTTTGACAGAACAAAATTAAGCAAAAACCTTATAAACAGGACGGTGCCCTGTTGGAGATATTGGGCCCTCAACCGTCTTTCCAGGAAGGAACAACTGAAGTGCAGCCTCAAATGCTCCATAACAAAAAATGATTTTCCAAGCTGTAGCAGTGGGTTTTGGCCATATTTGTATGAACCCCTGCAGTCCATTCTGCCTCAAGTAATTCCATGTTTGGATAATGGACCCATCAGCATGCACCATCGTGTACCATCTGCCAAAGCAACAATGGAGCAAGAGAAATAAGAAGTCTTGCAATGGATTTGATATAGACCCATCAAAATTTTTCATTTTGGCTCCAACTAATGATAAATAGGAGCTAGCAAATCATAATATATGAATACCAATAAATCAAATCCAAATATGTGTGCTTCTTTCTCTAAAGCAGAATCAGATCAGAACGAAGCGATAAGAGACGAATATACAAGTTTTATTTGCTTGCTGGAAACGGAGAACTTACAGTAAAATGACAAAGGGAGGGCAGAAAGAAAGGAGCGAAAGCATTGAAGCGTAAGTGACCAGCGGCGAGTGCACGGTTTTTGCCTCCGATGACGCTGCCATCTTCTTCCAATCTGAATCTCACGGCGTCTGCTTGACTAGGACGATTGAAAATAGACTCAGTGCACTCCGGACTGCTAATTTTATGGAAATATGGAGTTCCTGTTTGTTTTCGAGGCCATAAGATAGCTTTGTCGTTTAGTCCATGAACTTCACCTTGTGACTTTACTTTAGTAATACAATATTATAATACCAAGGACCTATGTAAGGACGGAAGAAATTCAATCTTTTTTAAATAAATAAGATTTTGATTTTGAATTTGAAATTTATAAACAGATAAATAAGCACTTAAAGAGTTTTTTTTAATGGATTAAACACGATTTGATTTTGAGTTAATCGAAAGTTAATATAATTTTAAGATATCGAGAAATTAATAAATAAGATTTTGATTTTGAGTTTGAAATTTATAAACAGATAAATAAGCACTTAAAGAGTTTTTTTTAATGGATTAGACACGATTTAATTTTGAATTAATCAAAAATTAATATGATTTTAAGATATCGATAAATTAATAAAAAAATATTATAATTATAATATTACCTAAAATGTTATAATATTTTATTATTGGTATTAATTTTTTAATATTAAAGAGTTATATTAGATTATTTAATTTAGAGTTAAGACAAGTAAGATTGTATAAAGAAAAAAAACACTCACATGGTATCTCTTTCTTTTGTCAAATAAAATTTGAATTTGAAACTAAATTTCTTCTATTTAGATTATTATAGCTTTTTATTAAAATTTATTCTTAATATTATATATATTTATTTAAGATTACATCACATTTATTAGAATTATAAATTGTGTAAAATAAATAAAATTACATTAACAATATAAGTAATTCAATAATAATATATTTTTTAAAAACTAAAAAATTTTAAATTTAAATCATATAAAATATGAGTGGAATGAAATAAAATATTAAAAAAGATTTACAAGTAAGATAAAAAAAAAAGTACACTACACAAGTTATGTGATTGTCCACTTAAAGGAGATATATATATATTGATAATAATAAATAATAGACATAATATTTTAAGTTAATTACAATAATAAGGTGAAATAATAGGATAAAACACACAAAACACATAAGTTGAGGGACTAATGATCTTATCAACAAACAATTAGAAAGCGAATTGCAACAACAACGAGAAGTTATGGGATAAAAACACACAAAACACATAGGTTGAGGGACTAATGATCTCAAAAGCAAACAATTAGAGAGGCTTGGGGTGTTAAGCTAATAGAAATCGGGTCGGGTAATTGAATGGCCCACCCCTCCCAAAGCCTTAAAACACAGAAAAGGGCACTTCCGCCGCTCCGCTCCGCCGTCTCTAATCCGAAAAATCAAATTTACCGCCGCCGCTACTCTTCCGCCGCTACTATTCGTCAATTACATTAAGAGTTTGCGTGTGCTGCGGTTAGTCTTTTGGTTGCTGCTATTGGTTTCTTGATTAGGTTCCTTTGTTTCTTAATTTGGCGCAAAATTTTCAGCGAAATATTGAATTGATTGGAAAGTATTTCTTGTAGGTATTAGTACTTCAAATTGGCAGTTTTGGCTTCAAAAAGTTTGGTTCTTTCGCATGCTCAATATGCTATGGAGACATAAATGGAGCTTGCTGCACTCCCCGCAAAGAAACCAAATCCTCAAAGGGTTGCCTTTCCTCTCAATTCGCCTCTATTCATCACCTGAGGTATGTCCCCCTGCAAAAAGCCACGAATCATGTCGTGAAAATCTTACCCCAGATCATGGCATTTTCCAGAAAGATAGAATTGTTCTCACACCTCATATTGTGGGCTTCACATTACTAAATTGCCCCTCTGATTTGATTGCTTTGAGCTTTTTCATGTGGTGCGCTAAGCAACACAATTATTTTCATGATTCCCAAGCATTTGATTGTATGGTTTCTATCCTTACCCGTTTAACTAAACGATGTAAAACAGTTAGAGGCATTGTTCAGGAACTGGAGAGTGTTGGTTGTGTTATAAAGGCACAGACTTTCCTGCTTTTGTTAAGGGTTTATTGGCGGGGAGGACTTTATGCTATGGTTTTTGAGACTTATGAGGAAATGGAAAGGTTTGGTTTTACACCCAACACATTTGCACGTAATGTGATCATGGATGTTTTGTTCAGGGTTGGGCGTGTTGATATTGCTCTCACGGTCTTGAAGGAAACCCAGTTCCCTAATTTCTTGACTTTTAATATTGCTTTGTGTAATTTTTGCAAGCTGAATGATTTGTCCAAGATAAAGAGTGTTATCAGAAGGATGTTGAGAGAGGGTTATTATCCTAACATTGAAACATTTCATTTGATTCTAAGTTCTTTCTGCAAAATGGGCCGTATGGCAGAGGCATATCAGCTGTTAGCTTTAATTGTTACTGGGGGAAATTCTTTGTCGGTAAATGTTTGGAGTATGCTGATAGATGGTTTTTGTCGATTGTGTAAACCCAGCATTGGTTATGATTTAATGAAAAAGATGCTTCTGGTCGGTTGTCCTCCTAATGTTGTAACATACACCACACTGATTAAGGGTTTGTTGGCATCCAAAAAGTTTGATGTTGCTTTTAGCTTATTAAATAGCATGGAATCTGATGGGTGCGCACCTGATTTGGTTCTTTATAATGTACTGATAGATTGTTTGTCTAAGATTGGGAGGTATGATGATGCAATTGATGTTTTCAGATGTATGTCAGAAAGTAAATTGGAACCTGATTCTTATACATTTTCTTCTTTAATATCAAATATATGTTTATCTAGAAGGTTTTCTCTTTTACCAAAGATAGCTAGTGGACTTGCGGTAGAAGCAGACCTAGTGCTTTGTAATTCACTTTTAAATTACTTTTGCAAGGCTGGGTACCCGTTACTTGCTGTGCAGTTATATGATTACATGCTTGACCATGATTTTATACCAGATAAGTACAGCTTTGTTGGGTTAATTAGTGGACTTTGTGGAGCTGGAAGAGTTGAGGAAGCAGTTAATGTGTACCGTGGAATAATCATGTATTGTCCTGGTATGGATGCTCATGTCCATACTGTTATTGTTGATGGGCTCATAAGAGTTGGTAAATCTCACAAAGCCATTAGATTGTTTAGAAGGGCCCTTACTGAGAAACATCCTCTTGATGGTGTTTCATACCTAGTTGCCATGTCTGGACTTCTCAGGGGTGGAAGGGTTACAGAAGCTTCCAGTTTGTATAGCCAGATGAAGGAGCTTGGGTATTGCCCTAATGCACAGATGTATAACATGATTATTTCTTATTTCTGCAAAGAAAGAGATATTAAGATGGTCAGACAGTTGATACAAGAAATCAGTGAGGCAGGGATTAAACTAAACAGCAAAACACTTATTAAGGCAGCTAGACTTCTCTTCAAATCACATTCAACCCTTAATAAATTAGTTGCCATGTGGAATTCAGGGTTGATGCCTGATGGGGCAATGAATGAGCTGTTGGTCTCTTGCTGTTTGGAAAAGTGCAATGCAAATTATTTGGAAGCCTATTTGGAGGATAATCTAGTGGTGGACTCATCCAATAATCTTGATGGTGTAGCTGCTTCTGTTGGTTGAGTTGTTTTGCTGAAGAAATTGTTTTATATCTAATCGGCTAATGTGGCTTCTGTCAATTGCAGTCACCATGCCATGATATATCTGGATGCTATGAAGGTACAGTTTGCACACTGTTTTCTTCATAATGATAGTATTCTCTGCTGTCATTTATACATTTCTCAGCAATTTATGTATTAAAATTAGTTATGAAAGCATTAAAGTGGTGCTGATATAATATATCCTAAAGATTTGAAGTGCTGCACTTAATTATAAAATGGTTAATTTGATCAACTATTTCAGTTTTCAGGTTGCCACCAAAAATAAAGAAGTATACTTTTTGTAAATTGTGTTTATATAGAGCACAAGGAATTGGATCTAGATATGCTGAATATGGCTTACATTTGTTCTTTTGCGTATTTGACTTGACATTTTTCAATGCAGACTGTCTTTGAGAACAGTTTGATGTAGCATAATACTGCTCTTTCTCTTGATGCAATGGGAGACATCACTTACCCTCTTCATTAATTTTTGAAGGTTTGTTTCTTTGATTTTATATTAACCAATTTCTAATTATTCAGATTTTCAGTGAACGACAAGATTTAAGCTTCCTTTTTTTCAATTATTTATTATTATCAAGGATAAGAGTTTAAGCTGTTGATTTTTACCATATTTGCAGGAGGTCACTATGTATAAAAGAGCAGGTCGCCATGTTTAAAGTTTTGATTTTGTTCTTGTCATTATGCAATTAGCTCTTTGTTATTCAATGTGTAGAGGTTCTGCAGACTGATGTAGGAGTTGTCTTCTTGGTATCTTTCAGAATATGTGTTATAACTACTTCGTTTTGCATCAGTGTGATCTTGATGCCCTGTTTCCCTCAATTCTTTGTGGAACTTACGTCATTGTGGTGCATTTGATTGTGATAAAACTTTTATTAGTTAAGCTCTTTTCAAAGTGAACTTCATATCTTCTTATGCAGCTTTCTTAAAAGATCACATTGGGTGATTATTGATGGAGTACTCTAATTCTGATGTTTGTGTATTTTGGTTGTGGGGAGTGGAAAATGAAATGTCATATGTATTATGTATTGTTGTTTAATGTTATTCAATGTGTTTTCTCCTCGGCAGTCAGCAGTTGAAACTTTCTAAAATATGTAGAACTTTAGGTTCAAAACTGTTTCATTTGGTTGGAGAGAAGGGAAAAGCTCACATCGTGGTATCAGGTTCTTGGAAAAATGAGATTTATGGTTTATGGTTCTAGCATTTTTTCCTTTGCCATCTAGATCTAGGCTTTTTAGATGAACTTGTGTTCGTATGGGTTAAACTTCTGTATGAGTTTTTCTGGACTTGTATTTAATGCATTGGGTGCCTACTAATTTAGCAATGGACTTGGTGTTTGCAAATTGTTTCTTGTATGTTGAGTTGTGGATCTAATAGATACCGCAATTATGTGACAGGTGGTAGAAAGAGGAGTGTGGATGGATGGTCAGAAGATAACCTACGTACACTACAAGCCTTATCACACATTGGTTGGGAGACCTCTTTTATGGCTCAATGTAAGTTGGAGCCTTGTTCAGGAAATGTAACAAAGACAAGAACAGAAATGGAGATCAGTTTTATGTTGTTTGCTCAATATGTTGCTAAATTTACCGATTTTCTTTTACTTCAGGTCATAAAAATTTGGAAAGCAGAAGGGGAAGAAGTGCTTGTAGCAAAATTCTGACAAGCTGCATGAGGATCTGAGCTGTTTAGACTCAATGAATGGGAGTTTCAGGATCAAATTTTCCACTACCTACGCCCTACTCAAAGTTCTGCTTCATCGATGTAGTAAAATGTACTTGTTCCTATTTTTAGCTATTTATACATAATCTTATTATTGTCATTCCTTGCTAAATGCAAATTTATTATTTACAGGTAAAGGCCATGGAGTTCTTTGTCTGACTTTCTGTATTCGCGCAATGAATTTGGTTTGCTTTTTTGGGAAGAGATGCTTGAAAGTATTTTCGCCTGAAAGTAACAACGAGAAAGTATTTTATGGGTTGAACTGAATGTGCAGTCTAACTTTAGAATTTATTAAAATATTTTTAATAAAATGATTTTTTATGTTATTTTATTTACAATAATTTAGTAATTTCAGTATTTAAATTGCAAAATATAAATCTCAAATAACAAATATAATTTGTTAAGTGGATGAATATACGAGATGATAATAAAAAAAAACAAACACGCACACAACACCAACGACATATTTGTCTTGACTATAACTAGAAGCAACACATGAACTTATATAAAATAAGCAAAATAAGCATAAGAATTTTGAAAATTCTATTAAAATTATTAAATATAGAAATTCGACAGTAAACTTTTTACTAATTTAGAAAATATATTTGGGCTCATACTAATTTAGATTTCACATATGCGAAGTCACTAAAAGATTTTTGGAGAAACACAAACATTAAAAAAAGTTTTGGGGGGAAGATAGCAGAAAATTAAGTTGGGAAGATGGGATAGAAATGTGGAGCTGACGGGTAAAGGTTTAAGGCATGACCGTTAGGTTCATACCTACAAGTCCATTTCAGTGATACATTTTGATTGCAGAAACATGACCAAAACCAAAGCTGCATTTCTTGATGGAGCCATTGGCGGATGAATCTCCATCATCGTCTCCCCCAACACCTCCGTCTCCTCTCCCCATCAGTGTAGGACCGGGCAACCAGAAGTACTTATTTTCATCTTCCCCATCTCCTTCCCCACCCTTCTCCCCGCCCACTTCTGCCCACGGCTCCGCCGACAGCCTCCCTCTCCTTCCTCAGACTCAGAAGCAAAGGCAGCAGCTACCATCCCCGTTTTCCTTGGATAAGAAACCTCCAGACAATTTGGATGATGACAAGACATGTTGCCTCAAGGACTTGTAAGTTCAATTTCTTTCTTTTTTTTGTCTGTTAACATACGTAGTGTAATGACATGCTTCGAGGGTTTTTTTTTTTTTTTTTTTCTTTAAATAAAACGTGCAGGTTAGAGTGGCTGTTCCAAAAATGTTGCTCATGCTCAAGTTCAAGTTCAAGTTCAAGATCGAGGTTTTCCTAACAAAAAGTTTTGCTGACCAACAAAAATCGACACCTCTATCAAGACACAATTTCTGAATTTTCTTTCACCATTCACCAACAACAAAAGAAGCAAATTATTTCTTCGTTTCAAATTAGCCCTTTGGCACTTGTGACCATTGTTTGCTTATTGTGTTGGCTTTTATTTTTATTTTTTTGAACACATGTTTTCTTTTATTTTAGTGAATGCAAATGGGTTTACTTTTACAAGGCTCTCCTACCACGAATACAACTATCCTCCTCCATGGATGAGTTTTTTATTTTTTTTTCCTCTTGTTAATTTTTATTGTCATTTTATGCAACAAGAATTAACTCTTATTTATTTATTTATTCTAAAATTATTATTATTATTTTTTAAAAGGGATATCAGTTTAGGTTGAAAATCACAAAAAATGAATTGGTATAGATTTAATATAAACTGAAACATTTTGAAGCTACAAAAATAGTTATTAAATCATTAGCACTGCATAAAAACATTCATCTTAGAGTAGCTGTTAATACGAATAACAGAAACTTTGTTATAACCATTTCTGTATATTCAATGTACTCTACGGATAAAGGAATACATAGAGTTGAACATAGTAAAATAAGAAATTGAAAGATTTTCGTTGAAATTGATGACTTTTTAAACTTGTTGAATGTGTATTTGTATACTTGTAATGTCTTTCATTGGACCCTACATTAAAGAAATAGATTGATCGTAATGCGATTTAGTAATTGATTTGTAATTTACTTTAATTGAATTGAGATGTAACTGTATTCTGTCCTGCACTTAAAGAAAAGGGCAAATCAGGCCCCATAGTCATTGAAATATTGAATGGTAAATGATGCATTAAAAATATAATTTATCTTATAAATTTACTTAAATACTCATAATAAAATTAATACCTATAATGAAATAGTATAAGAAATAATTTCATTAAAGATATTTAAATAAATTTATTAAGTAGACCACACTTTTAATGTACAAAATGTCTTGTAAAACACTTTTTTTTCTCTATAAATAAATAAATAATTTCTTGATGAAACATTGAAGCACATGCTTCTATGCAGCTACCAATCAAAGCTCACAACTCGCTCCAGAGAAAGTTCTATAGATAACAAAAGAAAAACGCATGGAAATAGAAGTAACAGGATATTTTTATATCAAATTTCTCCAAATATATTATAGATAACTTCTAATTTGCAGTTATGAAAACAAACAAAAGTGACTTCATTAAGAGTAATGGATAAAAAAAAAAAAGGGAAAAAGAAAATTGTTGTTGCTGTCATTGATTATAGTCGATATCACTGCTGATTTTGCTGTCTCTGCGCAAAATTTGGATGATTTTGTGGATTATTTTGTAGTGCTACCATATTGGCTTGCAGATTTTGAGAATTTGCTGGCATGTTGCCAAATGCACCTTGAGCCGTATGTTGTTGCTGTTGTTGTTGCTGCTGTTGTTGCATTTGCATCATACCACTAGGATTTGATGTTCCCATATTGAACACTGCAATAAAAACCCAAAATGGCCTCAACTCATTTCTTTAAAGTGAACAAAAGTAAAGAAAATTCAAAGGTCATTATTCATACTTTGGTCTGTTAAGATTTGCCGCTGAGAATTGCTACCTGGTAATCCATACTGCACAAACAATGAGCAACACAATATTTAAAAAACGAAGGGTAAAATGAATCTAATAACAAATCAAATTGAGTGTATACATCCATCATGCATCTATAAATACAAGCATAGACTATAATCCCTGTTTCTTTCCAAACTAGTGATGTTAAATGAGCTGTGTCAAAAGGATGAAAGATCATATGATATGTGAGGAAATTAATAAAATTAGGCTGCTACATAAGGCTGAAAGTTGAAACCCCAACAGAAAACCAGAGGAAAGAGAAGTATGAAAAAATGAAGCTATTTTGGGAACAGAAAAACATACGCATCACCAGCCACCAACAGATTTCCAAAGTGTTGCATACGATAAACATAACATCAACCATCTCCTTTTCTTTCTGTCACAGCAGAACAGCAATGTGCGCCTCTCTCTATCCTACCACCCTCTAATATTTTGTCTTCTTCATTTTGCTCTTTTATAAAGTCCAACTCATTTATTTACTTTATTTTAAAACTAAAGCTGGACCAGCCAACTCTAGCTCAGTCAAAAGGTTTATTTAAAATCCATCAAGTCAACTTGGAACTCAGAATATTCAACTTTCCCCCGATCAGTGCCTAATAGCATTGGCACATATTCATAATTGCTTCTCAGTTCCCACTTTATGACACGTGGTTCCAGTGCTAGTGGAGCTAATTTTAGTAAGAAGAAAGATTTCCTTATATGATCAAACTCTGCATTCACAGAATATATTGCACGCATCATACCAAAATCTCCCACACAGATCAAAAAGAAAAGATAGAAGACAAAATATAATCAGGAAAGCACCAGCAGCTAACCTGCATCCTTGGCATAAGTGATTGTGATGACATTGTAGCTGATACATTAGGAATCTAAAATAAGGGGAATAGTAAATCAATAAATAAATAGATAAATAAATATGGAAGAAAATAACTTCAATTAAAAGAAAAAAGAAAGAAAGAAATATGAAAGCAAAGACGTTATCACAATCCATAAAAAAAATTAGGCAATAAAAGACAAATACACAGGACAATTAAAAGCAATGAATTGAAGAAAAACTAAACTTTTTGAGGAAAACGAAAAGGGGTTACAGACTATAAGTGAGAGGTCCAAGTACGAAGAATTATCAAACTAACCATTTGGGTATTTGGTGTGCCCTGGGCAGCATTAAACAGTGTGCTATTAGCTGGACCAGAGAATTGGGTTAGATGACGATTTAATAACTGACTTCCTTGGTTGAGTTGGCTTTGACCAATCCCATGTTGAGCGTGTCCAGAAGGCAGCTGCCTACTCTGAAATTGGCCCAATGACTGAGAAAATTGCATTTGATGCTGCCCATGTACCTGGTGATGATAAGTGAATTTTCATTATTAACTAATATAGAGGAGCTGCAGCGCTTGAGCTTCTAGCTCAATCCATAAAGTGCATCTTCCACTAATCTAAAGTACTGAGTCTGAATGCCCCCCCCAATATAAAAATAAATAAATAAAAATGCTGAGGTGCTAAATTTTCAGATTTAAAAAATAAAATAAAATGAACAGATGGAAGAAGAGGTATGTAATGGTGATCCCACAACATTAGTGTGCTCACAATTAAGATGTGTTAGGACTAACAGATTTTATGGATTGAACTTTTGATATGGTCAAAAAAGAATATGTGGAAGAATTATTTGTGAACTTTAGGATTATTATGCAATTATGATTATTTAAGTGCACTAGAAAGATATATGGCAGCCTAGGTGGCGCATCACATAGGTATGGGGCAGTGTTCAATGCCCACCATTGCCTAGCGCATTTTGCAACACTGGATTTGATGGATTGCGTGAGCTTTTTACCATACCTTGAAGTTAATTTTATGAGTAATTTATCTAGAATGGAGCTGAGACAGAAGTGCACGAGATTGCTGTTTACTCTGATAATAGTGTGTTTTGTACTCTTGAGGAATTTCTTTTATGCAAACAGGGGCTGTAATGCACCCATAATAAATTTTTTTGCTGATAAAAAAAAAAAAAACAAATTTAATGATTAGTTTCTTTATTTCTTAAACTAAAAAGATAACTGTAATTGACTATACTTTATGAAATAAATTTGGCTTAAGGCCTTAAAAATAGAAATAAAAAGAAAAATAAAAAGAAATAACCAACTAACCCTGCATGTTTCCATTTTACATTCTGTTCTAAAACTCCAAACAAATGGATTGTTAGTTTTAGCTTTTAGTTTTTTGTTTTTTTGTTTTTTCTTTTCTCCCTCAAGTTTTAGGGTTTCTCTTCTGGTTTTTAGTCTCAAAGTGATAACAAATGGTGCCTGGTGTTATATCTGCTCTCAGATGATTACAGTGAGCTAATTCTTATTCTGAGGCTCAAGCAATTCAAAGTCTAATCCATCTTAAGGACCATAATGCATCTCTCCTTCACCACAAACCCTAAAAATATTTCCTTAACCTAATTCTGCTAAAGCATAATATGCACCACCCCAGATTTAGCAAATTGATGTGTGTAAGGAGTAATTTTCAATTTTATCTAGGAGAATAGCCTTTAAAATAAATAAGAAGTCAAGTAAATGAAGCTAACAACAGAATTACCGACTGAAACTTCTGTTGAGCTTGAACCTGCAGATCATGTAGCGGCAGCTGATTCTGCACAAATTATATAATGCCTGAATGTATTACATCTAAGAGGCAAGAAAAAAATTTTGTGCTTCTCTAGTCAACTTTAAGCAAGAATATCCCAGAAATCCATCCTCATATCAAACAGGGCTCAGCAATGTATAACACAAAAATTTCTTCACCTCAAGAAAGCTATAGAGAACCTATCAAGTCAGCCAATAATTACAATGATCTCAAGTTGGAAGGCAAATGCTCACATAAGGATTTGCTACCACAATCATTGCCTTCTTGTAATCAAGATAGGACTCATAAAGAAACATTAATTTTTCCCTTTCAGTTTCTTGAGCATCCTCAATTGAACCTAACAGAATGTCAAATTAAATTTACCTGTCCCATTCCTTGCATTGATGACTGCCTGAACTGTTGCTGAGCAAGGAGTTGATGCTGAGACATTGTCAATTTTTGCCTTTGCTGCTGCGGCTGCTGCTGCTGCTGCTGCTGCTGCTGTAGCTGTTGCTGCTGCTGCTGTTGTTGTTGCTGTTGTTGCTGTTGGGTTTGTTGCTGAGGAGATGGAGTATTCATCATGTTTGTTCCAGATCTAGGTGAATTGGCATATGGAAGTGGAGACGTTGTTGTGTTATCAAAAGAGGGAGTGCCAGTAGCTGCAGGAGAAGCAGCTGATCTTCCAATAAGTTGTGCTCCAGAAGACTGTATACAAACTTGAAGGTTGTATCAAGTTCAAAAGACAGGAAATATAACTGGACTGGTTTACAATAGTTCTCATACAAAATAATATGTAAGTTATAACAAGAGGGTGTTGGCAAAACCAGTGTAGTCAAACGAACTAGGTACTTGCCAGCCTAGTATCCAAAAAATTATAACTTTCAATAACATTCTCAATTAATTTTAATACCTACTCAAGTGCCTTCAGCACTTCACAATGTCAAAACATTGTAAGCCAATGAATTTACACATAGGCCTTTAGGTAATGCTTCCTGCATAAATAGATATATGCATATCATACAATTCATACATGAGGATGATCTATTTGATAAGATGCAGTCTTTTCAATATCTATAGGCTGAAAATACTAAATGTTTTGCTATTGATAAAAACAGATGTTTACATGAAAAGGGACTAATGAACCAGCATACACATGCTGCGAAAAAAATGGAAGAAAAAGCCCTAGGCACTTTATTGTTTTACATTGCATAATACAATCTATTAGCTTTTAGGGAGGAAAGTGTTGTGTCATGAGCTAACCTGTAACATGGTTCCTTGACTGCTGATGTTGTTTGATGGCATAGGAGGAGTGTTCTTCACGTACATTCCTGAAAGAGAGAACATGATATTCTCCTTAAGCAGTGGGGACAATCTGGCATTGAACCATAAGCAATTTTCATGATGTAGACTATTACCAGATGGATCAGAAAAACTATGCATCCCATCACCTACTGCCAGCACATCTGCCAAATGGACCGGAAGTGAAGAGGTAATCTGCTTCTGGTCTGCAGAAATCCGTAGGCCTACATACATAAACCAATGACTAACTAGTTGATAGGCATATCTGGCTCAAGCAACAGGTCTCCAAGACTTATCCAACTAAACCAAAGAAACCAATACTAAATACAACAATCCAAAGTTCCAATATTACTCTGATGATTTCAAGAACACCCTAAACCTCCGTAATCCACTATCATACTGTCAGACTAGGCAATCAAATGGGAAAAATGAAAATTGAATCAGGGCACATTTTCAGTAGTACCAAGAACAAAGTGAACCCAACAACTACTAGCCTGCCTTGGATGAATGAAGAGTTTCCATCATCACTCAATCGGGTATTGCCCCCAAAACATTCAAAGATTACGTATTGGCCTATTGGTTGGACACTTTTAATCAGACATAGCTCCCAAAGAATCAGTGCACCATGTCAAAAAATAAGATCATCAGGATGAAATTAAAGAGAAAGCTTCCAAGAACCAGTGCACTGTCATGAAATAAAAAAGGAAGCTCTCCAGAAAAATCCACAACAAGATTGCTGTCACAAATTTATTATTATTATTTTTAACAAAACTTTATAGTAACATGCTTCACCAAAAGAAATTTGAAGAAATAGGTGATAAAGATGAAAGACTATCGCAGAACAACAAACCAGGAACAGAGTAAGTGACAATATTGTTTTTCCCAGCAAGTTAAGCATGGAGCTGAAGCTGCTCCTTGCCTGGTTAGTCAAACAACATGCTAAAAGCTGTTCACTACATAGGGTGTCCTAATCAACCTGCTTCAGTTTTTATTATAATTTTTTTCCCTCAATTACAGCATCAATCCTTTTCAACATACTACTTGCAACCACATTTACCTGATGGGAATCATGGTCAAAATCTCATGAGGTTAAAATAGTATAAGCATATTGGGCATCTGACCTTCACCAAAATTTACAGCAGCTCGGAGTAAGTTCTCCTGTTCTTGAATCTTTGCTGCCTGACCCTTGTCAAGAGTTGGACGAATTGGTAAACCTTGGCGAGTTCCTGATCCAATACCATATGCTGCACGGGTATCAGCTAGTACTTTTTCAGCACTATCACAGACTGCAGCAATCATGGTAATTCTATTCTGCAAAACATGGAAAGCATATGCACAAATTGAGTAGAATCAGTTCATCATCAATAAAATGTAGATATTAAATAACAAACACCTTCAACATCTCAATTTGTGACGGTATAGGCAAGTTCTGCATCCCATGGAGCAACTGGTCTCTCTTAGAATTATCATCAATTTCCATTTCAGGCAGTAGCTTCGAGGATAACATAACCGGTAGTACTGTAAGAAAAAGAATTCCATCAGGTGTTTTATTCAAGTAGTAAGAGCACAACAAAGCCCATCACTTGATGCATAAATTGTAATAAAAAAAATGCATACTTGGAGCATTTTCGGCATTGACATTCTTGGGATGAACAACATATAGCTTGGAGACGTTCTTTAATTCCTCAACAATGTTGAAAAGCTCAAGGTTTACCATCGAATACTGCCCCAATATATCCTGCCTGAGGAGATAGAATAAATATACATTCAATTGATCAAAATAAAACCCTAGACAGAAATGAAATTAAAACCCAGAAGAAAGAATCAATGAAAACATAAGCATTACCATTTGGGAGTGGTGTTGGTGCGAGCGTAGGCATCAAAGTCTTCGAGGATGCGGGAGATGGCCTTGAAGAGGGACAGAGCTCTGGTTTTTACAGACTCCAAATTCAGCTGCTGCTGCATCTCCGGGTTCAGCCTTTCCCTTTCGCCCTCCATGATTTTCTTCTCTGTTTCTCAACAATTTTGTACCTCCCTCACTCTTCTTCCCCCTTTGCGGATTTATATCATTCCTTTCTTTTCTCTTCCTTAACTGCGTAAGCGAATTGTGGTAAAAAAAGGAACTGTGTAAGTGTAAAAGAAAAAGGTAAAAACTACAATAATAGTCATTCACTTTTTTCATAACTTTCAACTTAGTCACTATCCTTTTAAATTTGAAAATTTAGTCGCCTAACTAACCATCATTTAAATTACTACCATTGGTCATTCCCTCTTAACTCACCATTAGTTAGCAATTTTAGTTAATTTTGTCTAATGACATGAAAAGTGACCAAGAAATAAATTTTTTACATGATGTTATTTGTAATTTAATTATAAGTTTTATTTTATTAAAATTTTTAATCTTATATGTATCTATTCTTTTAATAACATATAAAAATTATATAAAAAAACTGTATCATGTCATGAGCCCTTACGACATAACGTGGCCCAAGAAAATGGTGGTTACATGCTACCAACATAGATTATAATTTTACAAACTTACATTTGCCCAAAAAGAGAGAGAGAGAGAGAAAAAAAAAAGACTTTAAGCGGCTAAAATAAATTTATAGAGAAACAAACATTATCTTTGGGCTATCTACAAGTAAAATGTTCTCATAATCTTTTTTTTAAGAAAAAATTGAATTCGAATATTTTTTATCAAAAGCTTTTTTATGGTGCAGATTATAAAATAGAGAATTTATTATTTATTTATGGATGATTTATTTTCACACAAGTTTTACAGATTATATTTATATAAATTTTCAACAATTTATTTTTTCACTTTTAATAGTTGAGATTTGTTATAACTTTTAGATAAAAAATAATTATCTTTAATAAATGTGAATAAATTTCAACCATAAAAAGTGAAAAAATAAATATTTGAGATTTTATATAAGTATAATGTATAAATAAATCTATACTCTTTATATATTTATTCTTTTGACAAAAAATAAGAAAAGATTTGAGTATTTTTGGACACTTAATAAAATTATATTGGTATAAAAAAAGATTCTCTTCTTTAAAAAACCATAATATTATAGTTATAATATTATTTTATATTATAAATTTATAATAATGATATGTCGTTAAATAAATATAATAGTAAATTCTTAAATGAAAAAAACTAATTATATAATAATATATTAAATTATAAATTTATAATATTACGTGATATTATAATTATAGCATTTTCATGAA